CAACCCCGGCCCCGCTCCCAACACGGCTGGCCCCCACAGCAAGGATTTCCTGAACAAGGCCGACCCCCGTGTTGACTCTGACCGCGACGGTTCCAAGACGGTCGGCCAGGACAAGACCTACGCCTCGTAAGATTGTCCCTCACTTTGACGCGCCCACCTAGGCCGCGGGCACCATACCGGCTGCTGCGCTGCTTTTTCTTGCTCTGGACTTCGAAAACTGACCTGGTATTCTTTCTTTTCCCTTAAAGAGACAACAAGACGTCCTACGCACAGCGGGGATCCCACCGATGCTGCCCAGGTTCCTCCCTCGGTGCTGCAGCAGACCATTGGCGCTCCTCAGATTGCCCACGACGACCACGGCCACGACCGGGCCCGCAGGAACAGCCAGGCTACCGCGCAGGAGATCCACCGCGGACTGTAAACGGGTGGCCACCAGAAGCGAAACCGCGAGCGATTTGATTTAGCTGGATGATGATTATTAATGTCTACTTGCGATGGGGGTTTTTTCATATTCACTGACTGCTATGAATGTATTAATAGCTATCAACTGATGAATTTACGAGTTAATCCTGACATGTATCCCCACGCGCAAAACATGTGTCGATGATCAATATGATTGCTTGTCACGTGCTACCAAAGAAACTTCTTGTATTCTGTATCAACACGGCAACATGGTAGTGACACGACTATGTTGTGAACATGTCGTCATGACCACGCCATCCATCACACAACGCCGCGCCAAACCATGCGTCCTGCCTCCAGGCGGTAGGGGGGAGTGAATCCTTGTCAGCACACGTCTGAGAGATGTGGAGCTAGTACGCCGCACATGGTAAACATGCCCGCTTACAAGGCAGGGACAGGAAGGGTCAAAAGACAGATACATTTCTATACCTCGACACCAAAATTGGTGACCAGAATTCTGCCGCGACGCTTGGCCATGCACCTTGCCCTGGAAGAGGGTGTTTCAGCTGCGCACGACATTCGTCAGGAGGAAAAAAAGAGTTTTTCCTCCTTCCTGTCACTTTTCAGATGCGCTTTGGGGAGAAGGCGCGGCTCGGTGGTAACAAGGGGGCGCAAACGAGGTTGTGATGCGCCTTTGCGCTGTCACACTCTCTGTTCGTGTCTGCGCACTTGCGGGTGGGAAGAAGGAAAGGGAAGTGGAGACATGACTGCATTGGGGTATTAGTGATCATGGAGTGTGTCAGCCGGGGGTGTGATGAGAGCGTGTCGGTCCCAGGATTGGCCGTGTCATGTCCGAAGGTTTTGGGTCGAAATGTGAGATGGGATTCCAAAAAAAAAAACTCCGATGGCTCGTCGTTGTTGATTTGGCGAAGATCGGTGCGCCACGATGAGCCACACAATAAGCCTCACTCATGTGAGGTTCCCGTTCATTGGGTTGTACTGTTTACAAGCATCACGTAGCAAACCGCAGTCGATAGTCGGTTTACAACATGTGTCAAATCACCACACACCTGACCACGGGCGAGGGGAGGGGCATGGCATGACAGCCTACCCCATCTCATCTCACAACCTCAACTCAGTGACTGGCCAGTCTTAGTATAGCAAACACATTGCATCTTGCGTCCAATATTGAATGGGAAGCATGCTTCTCTGCAAACCCAACCCCCCATCTCACTCCAACGGTTCATGACATGATAA